GCCTTAGCCGGTTGAGCTATAGGCGCCGAGCCAACTCATTAACTCTTTAAAACAGAACCATTTAGAAGGTTTATTCTCTAATTAGAAACACCCACTAAGTACTCTTTTTTTTGAGACAGAGTCTCTGTTGCCGCAGGTTTGAGTGCCGTGGCATCAGTCTAGCTCACAGCTACCTCAAACTCTTGGGTTTAAATAATCCTCCTATCACCTAGGACTGCAGATGCCCACCACAATGCCCAGATAATTTTTCTATTTTTAGTAGAGACAGGGTCTCATTCTTGCTCAGGCTGGTCTTGAACTCCTGAGCTCAAGCAATCCTCCGGCCTCAGCCTCCCAGAGTGCTAAGATTGTAGGTGTGAGCCACCACATCTGGCCAGATCAACTATTTTCCAATCTGGTAATTTTCATTTTGTAAATTTATCCTCTGTGAGCAAAATCAACTACATTGATGGCTATATATTATGTCAAAGCAAAAATATGTGAGTTTTTAAATTGAAGGAAAGAAACCTGACATTCCAATGCCCTGACATTCTTTTAGGTTTCCTGCCTGGATTAAAAAAAAAGGGAACCACTATCCAACAGAAATAGGTTTCATTATCACTGCTCCCCCAGGCGGATGCGTGGAGTTTTGCCCAGAAGCCAAAGGTAACAGCAGAATCCTAGGGAAAGGACCTTTCCTCGCCTGCACAACCCCAACTCTCAAAGAATGGAAAACGATTGCATTTTCTCTCTAACAGGCAGGTTATATGGGGACTCTGGGAATTTGGAAACTTTTTTGAGCTACGTGCCAAACACTTATGTTATTTTGAGCCCCTTGAGTCCCTGACACTGAAGCAACACTACCACTTTGCAAGCAGCTTCACAACCACTGGCCAGCCAGGGAGGGGAGGCCATCGTGAGTGCAATCACACAGCTGAGACAACTTGTCACTTTTAAGGTGCTCCGGGCTCTTTATATCTTTAGCCATTGCAGCCTGGCTTCCCAATACCAACCTGACCACTCCCTTGTGAATGCGAACTACTCTGAAGACGTGGTC